CAGGTCAGGCTTTCTAACCTTTCTGTTTGTTCCTCCATGCTATGAAATGTACCAACCTATAGAAGTTTCTGTGAGGATCAAGCATAGTGGATCTAAGTGTGTAAAGCACTTAGAACAGTGCATGAGAGATAGCGCTAAAAAAATCTTATTGAAGTTCATTTTTTTATTAAAAAATGCAAACATTTTTTGAGTTATCATTTGTTTTCATATTTAAATTAGGTAATACGTACTTCTTTTCCTAGGCTCTCTTAACACTGTTGCCTCTCACCTTATTAGCCCCTTATCTCTCTATCCTGATGCCCTGATAAATAGTTCTGAGATAGGTTTTTTTGCTTTGTTTTGTTTTTTATCTTAAACATCTACAGGGCATGTAGATGTTTTGATCTCTTGTTTATATATTCCTCAGTTATTCCTTTTTCTCATGTTCCTAAAAATCCTACTTATTGATCATGCATATTCCCTTTGTCTGAGGAAGATGATATTAGGAAACAACATAGCCCAGTGCAGTGGAATTAAGATTTGGCTATGTATCTCTATAGCTCCTCCCAGTTTTAAAATTCCCTGAATCTCTGAAATTGAAAAATCAGAAATTTGAATAGGTGATGCATTTGAAATCACATCGGAACACAGCTTTTCCACACCCCCTTTTGGGGTGTATGTGTGTATGTGTGTGTTTACTCAACATGTGTATATTTTCCACTTTCCCCATCTGGCATCTGCTTTAGCACCAGCTTTGCTAGCTGTTCTGTGTCAAGAGTACTTTAGCCTTTTCATTATGGAAGAGAAAGAAATGAAATAATATAAAAAAGAAAATCCTTCCACCAACCCCCGCCACCTCACTTTTTGTTTTGTTGTTTCTAAGCAAGTTTCTTGCCATTTACCTTTGCATTTGCATTGCTTATTGATTGGCAATTTTAAAATTGTTTATTGTGCTCTTTTGTTTCACTGTTCAAGAGCTAAAACAAAAGCTACCAGGCCCTTCGAGGTACACATTTGCATGCGGTGAGCGTTGCCGGAGGAAAAAGTAATTGCTAATGCATATTTATGTGGCACAAATTTGCCATTTGTTTATGCATAAAATTATCAATAGTGCAGGGCGGCCCAGCCGTAGAAAATGGTGACCTTTTTAGCTTAATAAATAGAAATCAGCTGTTATTGTGAAGAGATCAGCCATTTATTCTGTGTTGAGGGACATTGCCGGGAAAATGCAGATTGGGGCTGGCAATATCATTAAATGGAAGGCCAATGACCCTTTCGGTAGAGTCTATTATACTTTATCTAATAGGGGATAAATGGCTCTGGTTGGCAATTGGAATAAAGAACAACAGTTTTTTTTTTTTTATTTCAATCTGTAATTTTATAACTATATGGATTTTAAGCCAGTAAAACTGAACAGGGAATCTCAGGCTGACCTGTTGCTAGAATTATCTCAAGAAGTACCTGTTTTCAAGTTGCTTTTCCTGTTCATTATTCTCTGACTGTTTTGATTTGTACCTATTGAAACAAAGAGTAAGTCAAACGATGGTTTGTTTTTTTTTTCCAGGAAAATAGATCTTCCTTTAGTTAATAGCTTTCTTCTTCCTTTTTTTTGGCCATACTTTTATCTTTGCACTGCAGATATTTTTGCGTTTTTCAGGGTTGCTCTGTATTTGATGTCTTAAAAATACTAAAAGTAGAAGAATATATCTCTAAATAAAGTTACTAATAGATTGTAAATTGAGGGGTTTTTTTGTTGTTAAGCTAAACATGAGAACTTTGTAAGTGATAAAAAGGGCATTTGAAGCAAGTATGTGGGTCCTTTGCATTAAAGACTATTCTGTAAATATAAAACCTTCTCATCAGTATATATATATTTTCTTAATACATAAAAAAACCCCAACAAATAGTCATGTATCTTTTTTGGTTGTTTTCCTACTGCATCTGATAGAGGAAATGCCCTGGGTCTCACCAGAGCTGGTCTATGACTGTGGTTTAATGCAGTGTAATCTCACACTACGTTTACTTGGCTAATATTTCTTTGGTATATTATGAGCATTTCTGCCTTTCAGGATTTTTTATCCAGTTTTTTCAATCATTATAGAATTCACTATTAAATGAAAGTTATGTTTTTTTTTAATATTATGTAATAGTAGATGCACTCAAAATTTTATCTAAGTTATGAAACACGGTAACGAACAGAGACCTGCACAAGCACCTCAAAACATGGCGAGCTCTAGGAAGCGACCTGCATGCTTCTCCCTGACTGTGTTTCTTAACACAAGCTCGCCCCACCAGGTTTAAAGTTTCTACAATAGCAGGTTTGCAGCCACCAATCTTTCCCTCCTGCTGCACTTTAGTATGACAGTGCATTCTGCAGCATGTCACCAGAGTGACTGAGTAACCTTTTACTGGCAGAAATGGGTCTGTTGTTCCTTTTTAAAGTAGAGGGTGTAAATAGGATTCAGACACTAGGGTACATTAGTCCATAAAATGAATATATTTTTTATGTCATTTATAAGGTATTGATTTTAGGTCCATTAGATTCACAGTCCCTCGTGGGAGAAAAAACAATGATTTAATGGATAGGTTGGAATTCCAGAAGGAAGCACAGCAGTAGTGATTAACCCCTTCTTCGACTCCCTGCCCCATTATTTAACATGGTGGAGTAGCTGAGGACTCTGGGGGAGAGGGACAGTTTGACATCTGTCTTCCTTGCAGTTTATGAGGGATCACAAAACAGATTTCAGCTGCATTATTACTGTCTCTGAATGTGATAGAGCAGATCACTCTGGGTTGGTAAGAGCTGCTCCAATTTGTTTTTATAAGGTAGTTTTTAAGTTGATGAATGCGTTTTATTTTTACAAAACCTAGAGGATATTTATTTGGAAAGTCATAGTAATTTCTGATACTGCTTAGGGAAATCATAGAATACGAGGGAATAAAGCTTATATTTTTTTTAAAGAAAAAATTTTTATTCTCAACTCTAAGAAAGGAGAGTTCATTGTAGTGTCATGCCAGTTATATCCTTTCTTAGGCAAGTTTTAAGTAATATTTGTGAGAATGGCCATGACAGGAATTTTTTAAATAGGGTGTTTCCTGTCCTACAAATGCATAGAAAATTATTGGTTTACACAAGCCTCTTTTCTGATAAAAGGATGACTGAAATATCATTTCACTTCTATGTACAGAGCACTCATAATAATTCTAGTCAATTTATCCCAACTAATGTTACTACCACCTAAAAGGAATTTTCTCTTAGGCTGCTTTGGCAGTTACATTTTCCTTCTTAATGTATGAAAAAAATTATAATATAGGTGGGAAATTTTTTAAAATTCTAATTATGTTTCCAATCATCTGACATACTGTATGTTAAGGCTGAATAAAATTATGCCAACTAAAGTTTGACTTTCTCAAAAATTGACCTGACGTAACGAATATGGTATCAATAAACATTTTTAGAATTTTATATTTTAATTCAAGTTTTTCAAGTTCTGTGACAAAAATGTAAAAATCCAGGCTCCCTCTTGTGGGTAAAATTACCACCTGTATATTTCTGTGTTGCCAACATACAGGGTATGGCAAAATTTCTGTTTCATTTTTAAGTAAATTCTGTGTAGTCTCTTTATTCGGTCAGATGTGACATTTCACTTAATTGAAAAAAGTAGAGTTTAGGGTACTTTTTTTAGTAACATTTTTAATGAAAAGTTGTTTTTTTTTTAATTAGCAGACTATAGACAACCTTTATTTTACCGCAGCAGTATAATTTCTGATGTTCAAAATTTTTAATAACTTTTTTTCATTTTGGAATACTCTCCAATGGGTTAATTAGCAAACTAATGAAATAATGTGGAGGCTTTTTTTTTTTTTTTTTGAGAAAGAGAGCGAGAGAGCGGGGTGTGGGGCAGAGTGGGAGTATCAGCGAGAGATAGGGAGAATCTCAAGCAGGCTCCACACTGAGCACAGAGCCCCATGCAGAACTCTGAGATCATGACCTGAGCTGAAATCAGGAGTCAGACGCTTAACTGACTGAGCCACCCAGGCGCCCCAATAATGTGAAGTCATCAATGTGGTGACGTTTGGATTTCTGTGTTTATTAGCAAAAGTTCTAATACTGGAATGAAGTAAAATCTCTTCCTACCTATCATGCTCCAGATAGATACCATATGGTCATAAAACTCCTCAAATGCCATACATAAATCTTGTCATCAAAACTGAATAATCAATGGCGTAGTAAGAATGAACACTGAAGCATTACTCAGCTCTCCCTGAACTGAACTAATACTGAATAATCTGAGCTGGGACCAAGACTGTGGCTATACCACCATATATGGGTTCCCTGCTTTCAGAAGTCTGATTCTTAGGAATTTCAGCTGAGTAGCAGAGTCCATTTCTGTCCAGCCTGGGGAAACGGGTAACCAAGCCAGAGCTCTTATGCACTTATGAAAGTGGCAAGAGCAGTATTTCTGAAGTCGAGCTAGGCAGCACAGTCCTAGAGATATATAGCAAGAAACGTGAACGTAGAGATAGCTGAATGGCTCCCACTCAGCAGTTACCGTGCTGACTGTTGCTGTCAGATGTTTGAACAGAATCAAGGCAAGGACTTATGAGGACACCTGAAGATCTCTCAAATCATTCCAAGAACTAAGAATTTATCTTAATGTTGCCTGTCCTAACGCATCTGTAAAACGGTTACATGAAAATCAGACAAAATGAACAACTTCTGAGGGGATTAATATATATATATGCATATATGCATGTAATGTAATTTATATGTGTATATGTTTTTAGATTAATTCTGGTAGCATCAAAGTGTCCAATTAATGCCTCTTTTCCCATAAACAATAACTTTATTATAGTCATATATATTTTATATACATTTATGTAAATTTACATATAGAAATTTATTTTGAAAACTTTGGAAAAAAAACTTTGGAAATTTCCTGCTTCCAAAAGTTCTATGTTGATACATTTACTAAAATGGAACAATGCACTCTTAATGGGTCTGCTTTTATTTTTTCTAGTATTCCTCTTGCTGATGACACAATTCCTGTGTGAATCTGTTTACAAGATTCTGAAAACTGAACAGAGAATTTTGGCACTGCACTGGGTAGGAAAAAGGTATATTCATAAGATACATAATATGCACCTCTGAAAAATCGATTACTACATTTGCTGCTTTACAAAAATGAAAGTTTATATGCCTTCTCTTATTTTTAACATATAAGTAAAATATATGACATATGCATGTTAAACTATTTTATAGTCTTTTATATTCAGATGACAACTGGATTTGTAATTATAATTTGGAAACTCATTATGAAGGTAATGTCTCTAAACTGGCAGATGATAGCAACATTTCTTTTATTTTCATTTTCTTAATGAGATATACTTTCTTGAAGTTGTGAAAGCTTTTTTTCTCCATTGAAAAATGTTTTTTAAAACATTTCTTCCTGCTTTTTTGTTGTTGTTGCAAAAGAACTATTTTAGGTCACAAAAGGTAGGTCACACATTTTACAAAAACTTCCATAGGCTATTAAGTATGTTTTTGTAAACACATACAAAAATGGAGTGTTGCTCAGGCCAAACACATATTTTCCAATTTGCTTAGCAGAAATATTTAGTGGGCATCTGTCTGTGAGCGCATTTATGAAATGCTTGTTTGTCTTTTCAAAAAAGTTATACTTTGGGAATAGGAACTGAAAGTTTGACCACAGACCTAGACTCTTATATTCCGGTGGTTGATTGACTATCATGGGGGTGACAGCAGAAAAGGTTGGAGGTAAGGGATCCTTTGTTTAGAATTTTGTCACTAGTAAGATGGAAAAGGAATTCTTTCTGTTTATTACTAAAAAGAATTATGGAAAAATGGTCTTTTTTGAATAGTGAGCTAAAACTTATTTATTCACTAATCCACTCTTAAGGTCTTATGACTTATGTTTTTAGAACTTCAAGATGCAAGTTTCTTTGTGAAAACCTTTAGAATCAATCGTAGTTGTTACCTTCTTTAAAAATTGTTAAAACCTAAATTATATCCTTAAATTATTTATAAATAAGACTTCATATATCACAGACAAATGACATGATAAAATATGGAAGAAACCATTGTGAGTAATGGATTTTTATGTTAACAGAAGTGGAATAAGCCACAAATGGATGATTGTAAATATGAAACTTCTGTAGTGAAAACACCAATATCAATACAATTAGAAGGCAAATGTAAATCTGGGGCTACTTCTTTTTTTTTTTTTTTTAAGATTTTATTTATTTGAGGGAGAGAATGAGAGAGAGAGAGCACATGAGAGGGGGGAGGGTCAGAGGGAGAAGCAGACTCCCTGCTGAGCAGGGAGCATCTGGGGCTACTTCTAATAAATGTTGCCAACATCACCTGTAAAGAGCTGTTATTATAAGAAGGCACTGACATCTTAATTTAAAAAAAGATAAAATGTAAGAACAAATAATTAATGAAGAATACAATTCTAATACAATACACTAATAAAAGAAATGCAAGGCTACATTACTATCTAACCTGTAAAAAGCAGTTTGGAATGATAATGTTGTAACAAGAATGTGGGGAGATGGGTGCTTTCAATACTGTTGGAAAAGGGTTATATTTGTTCAACTTTCCAGGAAGTGATTTGGCCATCTCTGGTATGAGCCTTAAATGTTTCCAAAGCATTCTATGCAACATTTCCACTTCACTAGTTTGGAAAACATTTGGTTACAAGTAATCCAAAATAGTTTTTAAAAAGATGGAAATTTACATTTTCTCTTTGTGAAATCTGTGTAAGCAGTTTAGTGCTGGTTGGGTGGTTCCATAGTCATCAGGGAACCAGATCCTTTGTCTCTTGCTCTGTTACTCTGAACACATGGCTTTTACCTAGTCTTTTAGAATATCCAGAATTGGTATTCCAGTCATCATGTCCATGTGCTAGCAACAGGAAGGAAATATTACTAGGAGGAGATCATGCTCCCGCCCTTTAAGAAAATCTTCTGAAAAGTGTTCACACCCCTTCCATTTACATTCCATTGGCTAGAACATAGTCATACAGCAATGCCATACTTAAAAAGGCTGGAAAATGTAGTTTTTATTCTGGGAGATGAATCTGGGGAAGTTATTATAGTGGAATAATAAGAGACTGGATATTAGGGACCAATTAGCAGTATTTGACAGTTTCACTTCCAGGAATCTAACTTAATGAAATAATTAAAGAAAGAGACAAAATTGATATAAATATATTTGTTCATTTTCATATATTTATAATGGGAAGAGTTTGAGATTGACTAAACTGTCCAGCAATGGAGCAGTAGTTGGATAAATTTGAGTACATTTGTATTATACAGTCAAAATATTTTTAAAGAATTTTTTAAACTCACATGAAATTATGCATAATGTAATATTAAACAAGACAGAATCCACACTAAAGATACATTGTATTTCTAAATTTGTGTGTATACACATATACATGCACACACAAATATACACTCACTTATAAATATGTATTACAAATACATACAAATTAACAGGAAAAATACCTGAACGTTAGTACATCAAATATTAGCTCTAGATCATGGAATTATGAGCAGTTTTAATTTTCTTCCTAGTTTATACCATTGTTATTTATTTTTATTTATTTATTTTTTTAAAGATTTTATTTATTTGAGAAAGAATGAGAGAGAAAGGTCACAAGTGGGGGGAGGGGTAGAGGGAGAAGCAGACTCCCCACTGAGCAGGGAGCCCGATGTGGGACTCGATCCCAGGATCCCAGGATCATGACCAAAGGCAGATGAGCCACCCAGGCAACCTACATAATATTTTAAATAACAAGTATGATTTCATACTAAAATTTGAAAATATAAGAAGTATGGAATCCAAAAGTTTTACCTATTAAAAATACTAAATATGTCTATTCAAGAAGAAATGAATCAGCTTAGCACCCATCCTTTTTGACTTTTTCCTGAAGTCAGGTTGCAATAAGCTTTCCTTCTCAGTAGAGCATACAATCACTCAGAAATCTTAATCACATTGGAGCCCGCTGCCTCTTTTAGGTTAGGGCAGATTGAAATACTGTGTTGCAGTTCAATGGCATGGGACAAGCACTGGCATGGGAAGGTTATTGGTAATCATGCCTATTTCAAAGGCAAAGAGCAAAATTTTAAAGATTTCTCTCTCTTGTGTGTGAGTGAAAGAGGTTAAATATTGCAGTTCTGGATTAAGAATGTTTCCTTTTTTGTGTGATAAAGAATTTTAAAAAAGTAGAATGTTAAGAGAATATTAAAGAAATGAAAATTTAACTCAAAGCTAAGTGAAAAATCAAATTAGAGAGCAATTCATCAGAAATTCTTTGCAGAAATTGGAGTGAGAGCATATCCCCCCTGACCCTAAGCTGACTTTACTCTTTGGAATTTATAAGAGAACTATAATGTTGAGAGGCTTAGACTTTGGAGACACATTGTTTGAGTTCAGATCCTGATGGTACCACTTATGGTTGTCTACTGTTGGGTGTGTTCCTTAACCACTGATTGCTCATGTGTAAAATGTAAATAATAATAGAAGACACTGTACCCTGCAAATATTTATCACATGGACACTGGTGTAACTACACTGATTAAACAAAATGGACTTTAAAGCCCAAACCATTACCAGAAATAGAGTCACTTTGTAAATAACTGAAGTTTCAATTCAATAGGAAGATAAAATAATTTAAAATCTAAATGCCCATAATAATATAATCTCAAAATATATTAAGTACAAATTGCCAAAACAGCAAGGATAAATAAGCAAACCCAGAATAACATTTTAACTCACTTTTTTTTTTAAAGATGTTATTTATTTGAGAGAGAGAATGAGAGAGAGAGAGCACATGAGAGGGGGGAGGGTCAGAAGGAGAAGCAGACTCCCTGCTGAGCAGGAAGCCCGATGTGGGACTCGATCCCAGGACTCCAGGATCATGACCTAAGCCGAAGGCAGTCGCTTAACGAACTGAGCCACCCAGGCACGCTAACCCACTTCTTTTAGTAATTGATGGAATAAAGTAGACAGAAAAAATCAGTAAGGATATAGAGTTGAAAGACAAGATTAAGAAACTTGACCTGATAGGCATATACAGAGCCTTGCATACAACTACAAAACTCACATTATTTTGAAGAAGACATGGAAAAATTACAAAAATTGACTGTATGTTGAGTCATAAAATAGGTCTCAACCATTTTCAAAGAACTGGAATCATACCAGTTTCACTAGAAATCAAGTTGCAAATAAAAAAAGTATGTGGCTAGAAATAAGTTTCAAGATTCCAAAGAAATCACAATAGTAATTTTAAATATTTTAAACTAACCAAATTGAATTTTTTACATGTAACAATTATAGAATACCTATAACAAGTACTTCCTGGGAAAATTATATCTTAAATAAATGTACTAGGAAAAAGAGTGAAAATAAGGAGACATTTCCAAAAAGCAAAAACAAAAGCAAAATAAACCCAGAGTAATAAATCAAGAAGTCAATTAAAGCAAGAACATAATTAGCAAAGTGGGAAACAGTCACATGGAGAGGACCAAGAAAGCCAAAATTGATTGTTGCAAAAGATATAAAAGAATAAATTTTTCAGTACTCTGATGAGACCAAACAAAAGAGCAAGTGATAAAGGGCAAATAACCAACATCAAGAATGACAAAGGCTACATCATAACAGTTGTGTAAAGATTAAACAGACAGTAATGAATATTATGAACTTTATGTTACCAACTTCACACTGGTAGATATGAAGAATTGGATGAATGGTCAAATTCCTAGAAAAATACAATGTAGCAAAATTTACTCAAAAAGAAAGGGAGAACCTGAATAGTTCTGTAATCATTAAAGCAATTTAGTTCAGTAATAAAAAATAATCCTCCTATAAAGGAAATTCCAGACCCAGGTGGCTTCACAGACAAATTCAAGGAAGAAATGTCTAATTTTACATAAGTCTTTTTCAAAAACTAGAAGATGTGATAATCCTAAACTTACTTTATATATAAAGATCATACAACCTTGATACCAAACTTGACAAGTATGATATGAAAAAGTACATTTACAGGTAAATTCCTCTCATGAATATAAATGGAAAAACCATCAACCAA